CAGAAAGTACTGGAGAAAATCACAGAATACAAAGACCTGCAAATAGAAGTAGAATGACTATGGCAAAAGAAAGCAAAGGTAGTACTAATAGCTATAGGCACCTTAGGTGCATTCCCAAAACATCTGGAGCATCACTTGAACACCATCGGCACTGACAAAATCACCATCAGTCAACTGCAAAAGGCAGCTTATATCCTGCGACGATACCTTTAGCACCATCAAACAACATCTGCCTATCCCAGGTCCTTGGGAAGGACTCGATAAGTGGATAAAAATGCCAGATCCAGTCTAAACATCTGGCTGACTGTGCAACCAACCATAATAAATAATGCCAAGGCAAACAAAACTCCACCAAAGGTCCACAGAGGAAGTCAAACTGAACTCAAGACAGAGTTCAAGAGAACTTTCCCCAGAAAAAGACAAGCTCCCAGCTTTCAGAAGGAAGAAATCATTTACCTATAGAGATCAATATTTTCTTTCTCCTTTTCTTTGGCCAACTTTCTTTGCCAAACCCCTCTCCCCAACTTGCATAATTTATTTTTATCATTTATTTATTATTGCAATTTATATGCTGCTTAATTCTAAAAAGGCTCTAAGTAGCTTACAAATATTACAGAAATAAAATTAAAGAATAACATGGAAAACATAACATTCCAAACCCAATAACAACAATCAACCTTCTTTTCCATTAATCCACTGTGTAAAGATAGTCATAACAACAATAATTGCTTACTGTATGGAGGAGACCCACCATTCTATCAAGCACCAAAAGCTTTCCTGAATGCCAGCAGAGTTGATACTAATCTGACTCAGCTGGAACAGTGTTCCAAAGGAAAGGGGCAGCAATAGAAAAGGCAGGCCCTTGTGGTCCCTGATGATAACAACCCTCTCTTCTCTCCTAGCGTTTATTGGACAGGCAGAATCTGCTGGAAAAAGATGGTCCTGCAAGAATCCAGGTTCCAAATCCCACGTTCAGAGTTCAATAACCTTTACATCGTATACTAAATATTAGTGTACTTTATTTAACTCTAAAACAAGAAATAAAGAAGAAATAAGATAAACAGCTGGTAAATACTGTTTTCCAGTCCTATACAGGAACAACTGAAAAGCTGAAAACCCCTTCTTTCTAATGTCCATGCAGATACTTGTTGAGAAATCAGGAGTAAGATAAAATATAATTAGTTGTATTCCTAAAGTAGATATGTGGAAAATCTCTTCCAATATGAAATTAGGGCAGAATTTATTGCCCAAATTAGGCATATTAACATATATATTTCTTATCTATAATTATTTGTAGTACTTACAATGGTTTGTCACTTTTGCATATTGGTGGTTGGGAATCAGGAACAATATCACTTAATTCATCTATGTGAAACATATATATCAAATTAGACATGAAATACAATCCTAATGAAGATTTTCTGTACCAACATGAAAACTATTTTAAAGCATGACTAGTGAAATATGTCGAACTATTTACCTAATTTTTGCTTTCCATTAATATTTTCATCTTCCTCACTGTGCATCGTATTTTTCATTTTCTCAACTGGAGTTTGCTATATGTAAACATAATAAGAAATCGTAAATATTATTAAGATGTATACTGATTTATTTACATTCTTTTCTGCCCCAAATAGTTCAAGTACAAGATATGAAAAACCTCCCTGATTAAAAGTCAATGCAACATTTTCTAATAACAATTTCAAAATTATTTAAAACTGTCGGAGAGATGTATATAGGCATATTGTTGAGACATGATCTTCCATGTTGCTTTTCATTCACCCTCATAAAAAATAAAGTTCCAGCTAACATTGCACATGGTAAATTGCAACATCAAAATTAATTTGATATAAGCACTTAAGTATTTCTGTTTATACTCTTTCCCTTTTGACTTTGGAGCAGCAAAAAAGGGCAGACTGGGTTGACATGTGGATATAAATTTCTTTTTTGCTTTCATCTCAATCCAGGGGTTAGGGAATGGAACTTGGAACTGCAGAGAATCTATTATGAATTGTCTTGGCAGGTGGGATCCTTCTTTATACATTTATCCATAAATATACATATATATAAATATATAATACATTTTATATATATATACATATATAC